CACTGGTACCCTGCCTACCACTGTTCTGTCACTGGTACCCTGCCTACCACTGTTCTGTCACTGGTACCCTGCCCACCACTGTTCTGTCACTGGTACCCTGCCCGCCACTGTTCTGTCACTGGTACCCTGCCCGCCACTGTTCTGTCACTGGTACCCTGCCCGCCACTGTTCTGTCACTGGTACCCTGCCCACCACTGTTCTGTCACTTGTACCCTGCCCACCACTGTTCTGTCACTGGTACCCTGCCCGCCACTGTTCTGTCACTGGTACCCTGCCCGCCACTGTTCTGTCACTGGTACCCTGCCCGCCACTGTTCTGTCACTGGTACCCTGCCCACCACTGTTCTGTCACTGGTACCCTGCCCACCACTGTTCTGTCACTGGTACCCTGCTCACCACTGTTCTGTCACTGGTACCCTGCCCACCACTGTTCTGTCACTGGTACCCTGCCCACCACTGTTCTGTCACTGGTACCCTGCCCACCACTGTTCTGTCCTTGGTACCCTGCCCACCACTGTTCTGTCACTGGTACCCTACCCACCACTGTTCTGTCATTGGTACCCTGCCCACCACTGTTCTGTCACTGGTACCCTGCCCACCACTGTTCTGTCACTGGTACCCTGCCTGCCCACCACTGTTCTGTCACTGGTACCCTGCCCACCACTGTTCTGTCACTGGTACCCTGCCCACCACTGTTCTGTCACTGGTACCCTGCCTACCACTGTTCTGTCACTGGTACCCTGCCTGCCCACCACTGTTCTGTCATTGGTACCCTGCCTACCACTGTTCTGTCACTGGTACCCTGCCCACCACTGTTCTGTCACTGGTACCCTGCCTACCACTGTTCTAAGTTCTTCACTGGTGACAATGTATCTTTTTTGTTGTGTGGTGCATTTTCATATACACCTCATCCCACACTGTTGTAATATTGCGTTTATGTGCCAATGTCTGGCACTAATAGCACAAAGTTGGTATTAACTCTTTAAGGCCCAAGCAACGGTGTGAGCGTTGTTTGAGAAGTTCCGTTTTGTCCAAACAACGCTGTCATCATCGATCGTGTGTCCTGTACATTTTGCTTTGCAAATGCCTCCATACTAGATTCTAATGTTCGGAGGTACGATGAAACTATTCAGGGAAAGTCACTCTGCCGAAATCCTTTTAGTTTCATTTTCTAGCCTAAGAAACATGTGCATAATTTGATAGAAATAACAGCGAAGTTTTTTCCAACACTGCATTTTCTAAGTTCGTTTTAATTTTTCTGCCATTTTTTCCTGAAATTTTGCTCAGCACTCTGTGAGAACTAAGAGCCCCTGAGTGCTAAACTAACCCAGAAACTTATAACTTTGGAATATGTTAGAAAACTGAACAAACTTTGAAGTTTTGTTCTCAAATTTGGATATTTGCTACTCTTGTGTCCGCAAAACCATGGTAAGTGAAGATTTTGTTTGTGAAATGTTGTCCTTGTGAAATTTACACTTGATGAATTATTCTTTTTTACTAACTATAACAAAATTAAACAAACACTTATCATCACATTCAAAATTTACATCCATTTCTCTTTTAAAAAATATATACTGTTATAGGGATTGGAAGTATATTACAGTCTCTACAGCCTTTCTTGTACACCCACCCCTCTGCCATTTTTGTAAAGGAAAATTAATGTGGGCCAAGTCTGTCAAAATTCATGGGCCTGAAAGAGTTAATCATGCATTTATCAGCTGATTTTGTGTGTGCAGGTTGATATTGTGATGCCTGAAAAGTGGTGCTATGTGGTAATTTATGTTATTTAAATTAAAAGTAAAAAAGGCCTTTTTTGCAAACCACAGGGTATGTTGGGCATAGAGTGCAAAACCTCTTACTTTATAGACAAATCATCACTCGAGTGATGAGGTCAACACCATGCTGCCGCTTTTACTTCCCAAGGAGACCACTGGGTCAACCTAGCAGCCAAGGTCATTTCTGAAGAAGAAACAAATCTGCCTCCATGCAGATCTGAACCTACAACCTTCAGTCTCAAGGCAAGCATCTAGATGCTACACCACAGCTGCCACATATTGAAACTAATAAACACAATGTACTGGAGGTCGGCTGAAATGAATATGCGAGCCTACTGCCGTCTCTAGGAATATTATATGGTGAGGTCGCAATCTCTTCCCCAGTGTGACTCTCGTATTGCTTTCTGAAAGCATTGAAAATAGCCTAACTATATTCATCAAATCTCATGCTGCATGGCGTTGGTAGTCATGTCTGTCCACAACCTTCTGTCTCCTGTGCTTTCAATGCGCTCTGTCACGGATCTCATGCTGCATGGCGTTGATAGTCATGTCTGTCCCCAACCTTCTGTCTCATGGGCTTTCAATGCGCTCTGTCACAGATCTCATGCTGCATGGCGTTGGTAGTCATGTCTGTCCACAACCTTCTGTCTCCTGTGCTTTCAATGCGCTCTGTCACGGATCTCATGCTGCATGGCGTTGGTAGTCATGTCTGTCCACAACCTTCTGTCTCCTGTGCTTTCAATGCGCTCTGTCACGGATCTCATGCTGCATGGCGTTGGTAGTCATGTCTGTCCACAACCTTCTGTCTCCTGTGCTTTCAATGCGCTCTGTCACAGATCTCATGCTGCATGGCGTTGGTAGTCATGTCTGTCCACAACCTTCTGTCTCCTATGCTTTCAATGCGCTCTGTCACGGATCTCATGCTGCATGGCGTTGGTAGTCATGTCTGTCCACAACATTCTGTCTCCTGTGCTTTCAATGCGCTCTGTCACATGTCTCATGCTGCATGGCGTTGGTAGTCATGTCTGTCCACAACCTTCTGTCTCCTGTGCTTTCAATGCGCTCTGTCACGGATGATCTTCCATGCCATGATGTCAAACTCCTCAGCAGCATATCTCTGGGCCTCCATCTGCCTCCCTCTCTACCCCAACTATCTCACCGTAGCAAATTACTCCAGTTTTATCATTTTCATGACACGACCAAAGATGTAGACTGTTTCTTGTTCATGTGGGCAATCTCTTCTTTTTGTGAGTCGGTTTCTTTCAAGACATGTTCATTACTCTTATCTGTCTAGGGTATTATCATCATTCATCTATAGAACCACACTGCCATGTTTCCAGATAATTTGTTTACTAATCATTCAACTGCAAATGATTTACTTTCGTACATCAGGACAGGATTTATATAGCTCTTGAGAATACTACTTCTCATCTCAACTGACAAAACTGCAAAGAATTTTTAACTATACTAAAAACAACTAAATCTACAACACTTGTCTTCATATTATTTAAAACACAATAAATTATCCCATATTTATTAATACAATTTATATTGAAAAAATGTCACCATACTTTAATACACAATACAAAAAACAAATACTGTTACTAATGATCCAAAAACTATCATCACACGATACATCAACGACTTAAAATTATTTTGTATTTAAGTTATACCTGCCCTAATTTGTATGAAACTCATTGCAAGAATGTTGTCATTCAGTGAACAGCATCAACTGAACCAACAGTCAGAAACTCTCCTATAACTGAAATACAGCAGTTCTGAACTCAAGACGTTTTAATGTCATTCGTTCTGAACCAACATTTTATATCTGAATCAAATACTCCCTACACAAGGAAATATATATTCTCTTGATCATTTAAAAGAAGCTAATTACCAATAAACAACCAACCGAGTTTCCACAGATCAATAATTACTTACAGCTGTTATAATAAAAGCATAGTGTTTTCATCATGAAGACTGAGGCGTCTATAGTGACTTGTCTGCAGCAGAATTATATAAATAACTCCCTCCATGTACTGTTAACTCTGTGTTTGCCATAAATAACTCCCTCCATGTACTGTTAACTCTGTGTTTGCCATACATAACTCCCTCCATGTACTGTTAACTCTGTGTTTGCCATAAATAACTCCCTCCATGTACTGTTAACTCTGTGTTTGCTATAAATAAGACCACTTTAACTATTATTGTCTCATTAAGAAACCTAAACATACATACTGAACCAGACAAGTTTTCTATCATTGCCAAATGTTTTCAACTTTTTAAATGGATGCAGAGGAAATTAACACAATATGCAAAATGGCAACTACCTTTGTGTTTACTTGTGTCCTCTCTTTTTAATAAATAATTTCTAGCGAACACTGGTAGTGGTTGCATTGCAGCACTTGCTGACTCAGTTGAACTCCCAGCAGTAGCTGTCTCATATTCAATTGTTCTAAATCCGGTTAATTCTTATATCTGCCCTGTAATCCCCACTGGAGCATAGGCCCTCAATTAACTGATTTTGAGCCATATCTTTGGCCATTTCCTGCAGGTCTCTAAATGACCTTCCTATTATTATTGCATCTACTTATTTGTTTAAATATCTTCTTCATGTGCTTTGTGCTCTTGCACTGTTGATTCCAGCAAAAGGACATTTTTTTTTTTTCTATTATCACAAGCACTTTTAAAAGCTAATATATTATTTGGCATGTACTTGCAGCATTCAATTCGCTCAACTCTGTATACATGTATATGTGTATACATAAATTTTAACACATCACATCACTTTAATAAAGAGTTAATAGTAATAGTAAATTAAGTAAACAATATCTGAATATCAGTTAACAAAACCGCAATAATATTCTCACCTTCTGCTGCCTATGTTAAGTGGTAATGGTAGCAGGTGGCCAGGCACTACAGCTCACTTATCTTGGAGTGGGAAGGATTCAATAACGGAAACTGAGAACTGGCATCCCAGTGTGATGAGTACACTTGTCCCCTAACGGACGCTAGCCACGCCTCCTCGCCTGATCCGCGACTACAACTGACTCAGCTTCATTTCAGTTACAATCATTCCCTTCCCGCAACCTATCCGTCTGAATTTACAAACTATTTGACTTTTAAAAACTAATGGCCCCTGGGAATAGATCGTATCTAGCAGGTATTTAAACAAAATACTTAATTATTTCTGACTTTCATAAGTCGACGTGTCCCTTGTCAAACTTACCAACACAGATTTCCTTCCTTTTGTGGATCTGCCGTAGGATCTTAAAATATGCTTCAGCTCAGAAACCGAGAGATTCTGCAGGTTGTTCGCGTGTTTATCAAGCGACATTTTATTCGTGGAGGAGAAAATATGTGAGAGCTGGAGCGTACATGACGAGATATTGGGTGTACGAGGTCGTGGAGACAACTACCTGCTGGTTGGCGACCAACATGGATGGGTGACGGCCATGCCTTAACCACTTTACGGAGCTAGCTGCCTATTGTTATTTTGGTATATTCGTGTAAACATGTATATTCCAATTAACATTTACATTCTGGAAATGCTTGTATTTTTTAGACATACTATTGAAATATGGCGTGTTTTGTCAATTGTTTGTAATACGAAACTAAGTTGCAGTTTAAACAAGGTTTATCCTCCGAATAAAATTCTTCTGCTACTTCACTTCCTCTTTTACCGCTGTGGGTGTCGAGAGAGATATAGGTTTCTGTTTCTGGCTCTTCTGTTTCTGGCCGCCTCGGCCATAGGCACATCGTGCTGTTGTAGAGCTTCTTCGAATAAAATTACTGGACGTAAATTTGCCTAGAGAAACCACGCAACAGCCAGGGGCTGCTGTGCTTGGTTCTGCAACGTCCTGTAAAGGATTCGCAACTAACCTTTGATCCTCCGAATAACGGCCAAAAACACACCTTGACAGGGCCTCAGTTACATGTAAATTGCGAACTTCCGACGACTATGCCGCCACGAGTATCTCCGACGCCGCTACGCGCAGCGCGGAGCGAGGCTAAACTTGATGGCTGGGACTCACGATCAGCAGCTTCCGCATCTCCTGCAGCTTTGCTTATAAGACCCAGCAATCTAATTTAGCGCCGCGCGTAGCGGCGTGGGAGATAAATCAGCGTGGCGGTATAGTCGCCGGAAGTCAGCAATTTACATGTGACTGAGGCCCTGTTTTTGGCTGCCATAATATGTGGCCGTTATTCGGAGGATAGCCAAAACCTGTTCTCAACCTTCCTAATACCGCGACCCTTTTATACAGTTCCTCGTGTTGCGGCGACCCTCAAACATATACTTATTTTCGTTACTATTTATAACTTCAGTGAATATATGTTTTCCGATGGTCTCAGGCGACCTCTCTGAAAGGGTCGTTCGCCCCAAAAAGGGTCGCGATCCACAGGCTGAAAACCGCTGCTATAGAAATGCGAAGAGACGTGCACAGCTCTACAAACTACAATCATGATGATAATGAGAAAAAGAAGATTGTAGATCCCACTAAAAGCCTGCGATGGCATCAGAATACAATATTACTAAAGTCACAGCCAGGGCCGTCCTAATGCAAGGGCTCACTGGGCACTTTCCCCGGGGGATAGGCCACATGCTAATATCTAAAGTGATTGGCCAAAAATTAAAACATGTTTGAGGTGTAAATTAATTATGTGTAATACAAAACCAGCATTATTTTAACAAGCTATACCATGCATACACCACAGTACACCATGCCACTTTTCTACTACACTATATTATTCAGTATTTTCCGGTCAAAATGAACGCCAGGCACGGCCACTGTTTGGAGCAATGGCAAATTTTTTGCTTCTTCCAGACGGTGGCCGTTGCATTTTTGCTCCGTTTATAGACTGAAAGGATATAGTTTCGTCGCCCAGCTTCTGAGTTGAGTGCTTGGCGTGACACTGTGAGCTGCAGATTTCATTTGGAATATTTTTCTACTGTGACCAACGTGTTGGTGTGAATTGGAGATTCAGAAAATGGCGCGATGTCTGTTGTCGCAATATTGGTGGTGCCATTATGTAATTAAAACTGATCGTGTGCAACTGCTGATCTGTTGATGACTTCTGCTACAATCCATGACAAACTGCATTTCTAATGTCGGAGTTTGTGTTAGCACTTCAGATGGCTACCGTATGCTTTTTAAGCATGTATATGCTAGATATGTTGAGACAGCAGTCTGTCAATCTTTCCACAAGGGTTTATAATAAACATTCTGTGTGTTTTTTGTTGGCACAGGAGCGGAGCAAATATGGAGTGGCCCGTTTGCTATGAAGCTGAAACTAAAATTACAAGATTCAGTATTGTGGTTGTGATAAATATTTTACCACAGAGTTCGTACACTTTTACTCACTGTATGGGTGCCTGGGCTCCACGGTGGGGGAGGGGGGAGAGAAGCCCCCTGTCAACAGTCATGTGGTAAAATGAGTGTTCCATTCGGAGTGCATCTGCATGGGAAGCAAGCAGCCAACAGTCTGCATATATATAAGCCAGATTGAAAAACGGATGTGCATGCAAGCTCAAGTACTTAAACATGACTCAGAAGTAAACAAAAACAACCAGAACTTTCCGCCAGAGATTACAGCCGGTGAATGTGAAGCAGAACAGGAAGAAATGTTTCAACTATCGACTGATGGCGGAGGCAGAAATAAAACTTAATGTTAATAAAAGTGAGGTTTTTTTAAACATGTTTTAAGCTTGGTAAGACTGATAGAAGGAAAGCAAGCGGAAGGCACAGAAATATATGTCTAAATGGCCTGGCCACGTGGATGGGGCCAGATACAATCATTGAGCTGATCCGTTATTATGGTGATCGTGAGAGATGGCCAAACATGGCAGCCTGCGCTTACCGGCACGGCACGTGATGATGACGATGAGATAGAAATAAACTTTGTGCCACCACCAGAGTGGATGTGATCAATCGTTCACACCTTGCTGTCTTTGGAAATATTATTTAGTGAGGTTTCAACCTCTTCTGGAGTGCTCCCCGTTTGTGTGTGTCGGCAACCGTCACTCACTGCCAAGGGAACCATAGAGCTGCCGCTGGTTTGGGAACCCTTCTTGGACACAGGCCAGGGCATGTTGAATCTGAGTTGAGGCTGTTGCCCAGGCAGCAGGTATCCGCTCTCTACGTCACCAAGGGAAGGGCAAGTGCCGCTACATCTTGGCACCGAAAACGTTGCAGGAAATGCTGGAGCAAGTAGTGCCTCTCCTATCCCTGTCTGAAAGTCACAGACGATTGATCGATCGATTTGCTCTCTCCGGGCTGCTGCCGCTACATAAAGGATTACCATATCATCCAGAGATTACAATCCCCAAGTCTTGATGGCAAACTTACAAGTATGTTGCCACAGAAACCGTCTTCTTCTAAACAGATGACCCCCACATCCAAACCTGGCATGTCAAAGATTGGACTGTGAAACGATATCTATCAGGCACCGCATTTTGTGCACTCAATCCAATCACAAAATTATAACTGATTGCTAGTGCGAGGCTATATGATCTTCTATACGTGGCATTAACATCAATTTGCTTGCTCGGGGTTTGTGTTACTTACATGGCCCATACTTCCTGCGCCACATTGTCGCTTGTAGTGCCTCATTGCCTCAGCATCAGTGTAGCATCTGAATGGTGGGGTCGATACACGAGAGGGCGGACATTTTTAGTGGACCATCTAGAGATGTCCACGAACCAGCACTAGTCCGCTGACAACATGGCGGAGAACACTGTTTTCAATGATATGTGACATACGTTTGATTGAACAATTTGTAATGACCGACTGCGAAGATTCACGGGGACAAAATGAAATGATGCAACAATGACTTCACCATTGTGCATACGTGGACTAAGCAAACACACGACTGGGTGTATCCTGCATTCTCGGTCACAACCAGAATAAAGGGTTCAGACAGATACACCGACGCACCGAATCAATGATAACAACAGTGACATTCAGGAGCTATTTACGTAGACGGAATTAAACCTTTCACCTTATTCAATATCTATGCCTTAAATAATGAGACAGATAAAGAAAAGCTGAGAGTCTTGACTAACTTATGAAAGCAGTTAAACACCAATATCATCCTGTGTGGTGACTTCAACGCCAGGGGTGACAACACCACGATCAACAAACAGGGCGAGACGGAGGAGGCACTTCTTCTTCTTCACTTCCTCTTTTACCGCTGTGGGTGTCGAGGGAGATATAAGGTTCTGTTTCTAGCTCTTCTGGCTGCCTCGACCATTGGCACATCGTGCTGTTGTAGAGTTTCTCTGATGTTATCCTTCCATATTGTTCTAGGTCTACCCCGTGCTCTACGTCCTTCTCCTCTTTCCATGTATGCTTTGTAGGGTATGGTGTCACAAGGCATTCTCTCTAAGTGGGCAAACCATTTCACAAAGCCAAGGTCTGATATTGGTATGGTAGACACCTCAAGGAGCCAAGGTCTGACATTGCTATGGTGAACATCTCAAGTAGCCAAGGTCTGACATTGCTATGGTGAACACCACAAGTAGCCAAGGTCTGACATTGCTATGGTGAACACCACAAGTAGCCAAGGTCTGACATTGCTATGGTGAACACCTCAAGTAGCCAAGGTCTGACATTGCTATGGTGAACACCTCAAGTAGCCAAGGTCTGACATTGCTATGGTGAACACCACAAGTAGCCAAGGTCTGCCATTGCTATGGTGGACACCTCAAGTAGCCAAGGTCTGACATTGCTATGATGAACATCTCAAGTAGCCAAGGTCTGACATTGCTATGGTGGACACCTCAAGGAGCCAAGGTCTGATATTGCTATGGTGGACACCTCAAACAGCCAAGGTCTAGGCAGAGTAAAGAAGTGCCAGTAATGAATGAGAGACAAATCGAGAAAGTCTTCGAGACTGTCTGACGCTCATAAGCAAACTCTGAAAGAAATAAAAGAACACTCACCGAACACTTGAAACAGATTGCAAGGAAGGCTAAGCACTCCACGTGGGAGACATTTTGCAAAGAAAAAAAGTGTGACAAATCCCTGGAAGCATGAATGACAGACAACAATCTGGTAATATGTCGAGTTAAAGATGAACAGTGGAGTGATCTTACAATCTGAGGAAGACAAAAGTGAAGCCATCCTGCACAGACTTCTCTTGTAAAGCAAAAACACTGACAAGAGATGAGAGAAAGCAGATGAAACAAATAGTGCACGACATGCACACACAGGCATTCCCATAGGTGCTCAGTCTCTTGCAGTCTCCCTTTGCATAACCACCAGCTGCGCGCGACAAATTTCGCACAAACTCTGTAGCTCTGGTGACGATCCCCATGATCTCAGTAAAATTCTCCTC